ATAAAGCAATGTGAAGCGCGTGCTTTTTGTTCATGTGCGCCGAGCCGATTCTGCCGCATTTAGGTTCTTGGAAGTTCTTTTTGCTCCTTTGGCAATCCATTCTTGCAGTTATCTCTCCATCCTTCACTCAATCCTAGGCACATTGCCGCGGCGTGAGGCAGGGTGGCAGGGTGATAGCAGAAGGTTTTTTGATGAAACAACCGAGACTGCGAAAGAAGCGAGGTGCCCAGTGGCCCAAGAACCAGCAACCCGACCAAACAACCAAAACAGTGGACAAAGCCCCCAGCGCAACCCAAGCCCAAGGACTTTGCGCTTCATCGCGCACGTTTGCCAAAGATGTGCGGGGCTATGTGCGAGCAGACGTTTCGATATCTGATGGTCTATGAGACGGTCGCATTGCCCACGTCTGTTTAGATCTACGGGCGGACTGGAAAAATATGCCCCGCAAGACGATCCTTATAGCCACACCGACAGCAGAGCGTGTCTGGTTGGTCAATTCTATTACAAGACAGTACAGCACTTGCTTCTTCTCCAATGGCTCCATTGGAATCATTAGATGAGCATGGTGGCACTTGCCACATTTATACAGACCTGGCCACCCTTTTTGGTTTTGCCTTGCAAGATGCCGCCTTTGTACCCATTGACTTGCTTGCTACAGAGGTGCGGCGCGTAAAGGGTGATTGCTGTAGACGTTCGTAAGGGAACAGGCCTATTGAAGCGCCGCAGAAGAATAGTATGGCCCCTTTTCCCGTCAAAGCTGCTTTTCTTGTTCTCCATGTCCCGGCATCTCAGGTAGCGGCTCTAAGTTGAAGGTCTACGCAAAGATCTTCAATCGCAACAAGAGAATGGAACTCTTGAACGCCAAAAGTTGGAACTCTTGAACAAGCGAATGGAACCCTTGGCGAGTGAAGCAAAAGCTCAAGAGACAAGAGAAGCACTAGGACAAAGTGTGGCTAAGATGCCAGATGAAGCCACTCAAGCAGGGCGCAGGTTGAAGCGCCTACCCTATGCCAATTGGTGTAGGAATTGCGTTGAGCATCGAGCGCGTCCAGATCGCCATGAGAGAACAGATGGAGTAAAGAGCGGAAGTATTCCTGAGGTAAGCTTTGACTTTTGCTACACCAGAGCAAGAGAATCAGAAACAAAGTCAGCGAGAGCAGTATGTTGGCTAGTTGCAATCGACAGCCAGACTGGATGCGTCCATGTTGCGCCATAGGAAGCAAGAATCAATTTTGTCTCATTGTGCAAGAGTTGATGAATTTCAGTCAGCTGTTGGGGTATTCAGCAATCGCCTACAGAAGTGACAATGAACCCACCACAAGACAGGTCCTAAAGATGCTGGTCAATGCGCGTCCTTACTACAAGATTGAATTGGGAGATCGTTCATTTCTGTCAGGAAAGCACAGTTGACAGGGAAGGCTTGCAGTCGAGACTTGGCGTCAAGATGGCAGTCAAAGGTGCCACTCCATATGAACTTGGCCATGGCAAGAGTTACAAAGGACTTCTAGCAGAATACGGAGAACCAGTTCATGCTTACACCAAAAGTCTCAACAAAGGAGAGGGGCAAGATACCTATGTCTTGACAGATGGTGTGCAGGTAGCGCTAAGCAAATGCATCAGAGAACAGAACAAGATTGGTCCAAATATTTGGCGATCTACAAACTTTGGAGGTAGGGTCATTGCCACAAAGAGAAGAGCAGAAGCATTGCCAGCAGCGCAGACAGACATTCCTCGAGAGCATGTGATGTTGAAGTTCAAAGATGAAGATGCAGAGGCAGTCATGGCAAAAGCCCTTGAAGGAGAAAGTGATTCAGAGAAGGAAGAGCATTTCCAGAACCAATGCCGGTTCCAGCCCCGGAGAAGCAGTGAAAAGAGATGGAAATGAAACTAGAAAGCCAATTGGAGAGGAACCACCAAGTAAGAAGCAGAAAGGTCTCTTCGCAGGTGAGAAAACATTTGAACAGATGAAAGCGTCCCCATCTAACTACTCGTATATTATCTTCATTGAGGTCACCATCAGCGCCTTCGAGACCAAGGGAAGCATTTGAGTTGCTTGAAGAGGAAAGTCCTACGGAGTCCTACGAAGAAATTAAAACCGCCAGAGGATTCAAGCAAGAAGCTCAAGATCAACTTGGTGAAGGTTGCAGGAGAAGATCTCTATCATGTAGATGAAAAGCTATCCCCAGTTGCAGAAGAGGAGTGGGAAGAAGAAGGGGAAGAAGAAAGCGAAGAGGATGAGTTAAATGGACATGAATGCTTGTGGCGTGATGGAGAACATGAACCAAAAGAAGATCCAGAAGGGTGGATAGATCGAGTAGCTGATGAAGTTGAAGAGAAAAGATTCCAGGAGATGCAAGTGCTAGAGAGACCAGAAGGTAGCGCAGAAGGTATCAGTTACCTGACTACACGCAATGTGTGCCTGGAGAAAGAAAACTTATCACCGTGGGGATGGAACAACAAGCAAGAGGCGGAGGAGAAGATCAAGACTAGTTGCAAGAGAACTTGCTTTGGCTGATGGAAAGAGAGATGACATTTTCGCACCAGCGACTTCAGGGCGACTTCAGAAGGGGCATTTTCTCAAGTGCTAGGTTGTCGCGGTGTGAAAGATGCTTTCTTACAAGCTCCACAGGAGAAACCTTTGAACGTGCATTTGAGAGGTGGACAGGGAGTCGGAGCAACAGCGTGGTTTGACTTCTTTACAGGGTACCCCGCCGAGGAACTCAATTACAAGTTCAGTGCTGTGTGTCCACGCCAAGGAAGAAATGAGCAGAGTGTCCTTTTGGTTTATGTGGATGGCTTGATTTCAAATGTTGTTCAAAGTGCATCAATGAAATCTTTCTTCCAAAGGTTCAAGACAGGTTTGACACCAGTGTGAGCAACATTGAGAGGATTGGTGATGAATTCAACTTCCTGAGGAGGAAATACAAGTTAGAAGTCGATGGGCTATGGATCCAACCAGGTAACTACACCCAGCAGATGTTGAAAGCCTGAGAAGATCAAATTTCAACAACTACCGTCAGACAACTCCATCCAGATGGAAGACAAGTCAGAGATCTTGTATGACCCAGAGAGGATTAGCCTATTCAGAAGCATTGCTGGCCCAGGAATCTTTCTTTGTCAGGAAAGGTATGATGTAGCATTTACTGTCAAGGAATTGGCCTCAAGAATGGCAAACCCAACAACTATGTCGTTTCATCATTTGAAGAAGTTTTATGGACTCTTGTCTAATAGCTGAATTTCCACAAGCAGGAGAAGGCTATGTGAAGAAAGGAGACATTCTCAGGTTCAGACTGGAGTGGAACAAAAGCCATAGAAAGTCAACGTCAGGAGGATCCCATGCGTTGAACAGTTGTCCATTTTTCGACAGCAGCAGGGCACAGAGGATCATTAGCTTATCTTCGTGTGAAGCAGAGTTGCGCCCAAAAGCTTCCTCAGCGTGAGGTGGTATCTAGATTGGTCAGTTCTTGAACTTGCGCTTGGGACAAGGGTGGACCATTACATCTTCGCAGGTTCTTCAAGTGCGCGCCAACTTGTGATGAAGAGAGGAGTTGGAAAAGTGAGACATTTAGATGGAACGTTGCTGTGGAATCAGAACAGAAAAGGTTTCAATATGGTACAAGTACCAACAGGCAGCAACATGGCAGACGTCAACACTAAACCACTTGGAGACCAGAGAATCAGGTTCTTGATTGACCCTATTGGTTATTGGCGCAATTAAGAGCAAACAAGAGTTGGTGAGCTTGAGAGAAGGGCAAATGAGGAGAAAAAGAATTTTGCAAGCAAGGTCAACAAATTTTGCCAAGATGGTTGTCAGAAGTCTGATTTTGGAGGGCTTGCAGCCAATGGTTGCAGAAGCAGGTGTATTTCCAAGAAGGGTTGAACAGTGCAGATTGGAAGTGGAAGATTCCAATAAAAGCTGGGAAATCACAATCGTCGTGATCATTGCCGTTTGTTTTGCAGTAATGCCCTTTGCGACGTGTAGACTTTACAAACACGTTGAGCACAAATATGAAGTGTTGAGAGATTTACTCTTCAACAGAGTGAATGAAGCAGAACTCAGAATGGTGGGGATTGAGTATATGATTGATCAGAAAGAAGAAGATGAACACAGGTTAGACAAGCTTACAGGCTATACCAGGAGAATTCATTGTGGATTGGTTCTCAATGGAGGCTTTGTACAAGAACAAGGAGTTGGTTACTTATCAGTTTGCAGCTATGAGATGCTTGCACAGACTAATGCAGGAAACTACTTAGCCAGAAGGAGCTTAGAAGACATGAGATCAACCGCAGGACAGTATCATGGACATCAGGTGATGCTGGAAGCAGCTACCCAAGGAGCAGTTCACTCAAAAACACCAACCAGGATATTCAAGCCAGGAAATGCAGAATATGTGAACAGCATTGAGCACGAACAGGAACAATTGAATCAGGTGTGTGGTCGACTTCAGAGGACGGTTGACAGTTTAAAGCATGGGTACAAACAGGAAGAGGAGACTTTGATCAAGCAGACAAAGTTGCCTGTGAGACAGACCGATATGAAATGCTGCTAGATGAAATAGAAACAACAAGAGGACCAAGAAAACCAGAAGATGCTGCAGCTAAAACCTCAAGGGACCCCGTTCCTTGGAGGTTCAAAATTCGACAGAAATATGATGGAAACAGAGTGGATTATGGCGGCAGAGTGAGCTAAAATAGCTGATGTGCGCTCACACTACCAAGAAGGAGTGTGAAGAATTTTCAAGGTAGACCAGAGGTAGTATGTATAGCATGTCATTACAGCTTTGCACTCAGAGAAAGGTTTGCAATGTATATATATATATAGATATGTACAGCTATCGTGCGAAGAAACATTTTTCACGTGTTCCCTCACAAGTTTGCTCCTACATTTGGAATCTGTTCAAAATGGACGGGCGAGGAAGACAGATTCTTTTTTGGGCTTGGTAATCCCCTTAATTTTTCGCAGGTGTGTGAGAATCTCAAACACCTGCATTTTCTTGCAGGACCGTGACTTTCAGAAAGATGAGTGCAGCTGGCATAGATTTTGTTGTCGGTATGGATTTTGGCGATGCCAAGACGTGGTCTTCCAGTTCCAATCCATCTGCAGTGCTAAATGCAACACATGTGTTCTTGTGAGGGCCTTTGCCGGAACGGCAAAACAATTTACTCTCCGCTTCACACTCCACTACTGAGCCCATGTGTTGAACACCCATGCGAAGAGAAAGATAGAGGGTGGGCCAAAATTGGTAGATGTTCCCGGGAAAAATATTGTTCACCGATTGGTAGGACTAATTGCGAAGGACCCGGAGATGTGGATGGTGCACAATATTACCGCATTTAACATGTCAGCAGGAAATTGAACATTATACTCGTGAGTAGAGAGAGCAAAGAATATTCATGAAAATTCCAAATTGGATGGAATCCATTGTGGGCTTTGAACCAAGTTGTTTTCGCGACATGAAATGAATTAAGGGAAGAGGAAGAGGTGCGCAGGTATGCAGCATGTAAGTCAGTAAGTAAAACCGGGTATAGTTCAGCACCATTTCGAAGCCTTTTCTACTGCCTTCTACTGTACTGATTGAGAGGTACAGCGAAGAATGTCCGAACATATCGGCCAGGTTTCTCATCATTTGTTGCGACGGTGTTTGGGACGTGAAGAGCAATCAAGAGGCTCGCGATTGATGTGTGTATTACTAGTAACAAGAAACTAGTAGGTTGGAGGCCATCGCTACTAGTAGCAAGAAACTAGTAGTAGCAAAGTGCCTTGCTTGTGACTCCCGTGGTCCCATTTGAATGCTCTTGCCTGGACGGACCGGATGAACTCTGGGTGGACCAGAGGGATCCATACCAGCATTCATTCATTTGCCTACACATTTTTCATCACTCATTAACTCACTGGACAATGTGAAAGAGCTCAGATTGTGGCCGAAGTCTTTGTTTCTGTTTGTGAGGGAAGGCGGAAATCTTTTAGAAAGTTGACCCTCTTTCATTCAGCTCATACTCCCCTTAATTCAAATTTATCGAGAGAATACACATCACCATGAATAAAGGTCACTTCAAAACTGTACAACTAAGTCAAGCGTCAACTTCCGAAGTTATATACAAACACGTTCCAGGATAGGCAGGCTGGTGCAATGTGTGGGCTCTCAATGAAAAAAAAAACGAGCAACCACTATACAAGGATAAGAATAGCCAGATGTAGCAAGGGCAAGTGTCAGACAACAGGAAGGCTAGATGTAATGAATCTTTCATGAACATGCCTTCCACTGAAGAAGATGTGTGGCTTTTCTGCGCACAAGCAAAATCAGTTCTGGCAATAGCTGGCAGAGTTGAAAGCATATTGTCGATGTGCTCTCCGCAGAAATGAGTAAAGATACCACCAGTGATGTGACCAAGCTTTGCATAGCTTTGCCAATCATTCGGAAAAACCTCTAGACGAGTTGATCTATTTGTATGAGAAGGAATGGAGAGAAGCTTAAATGAATCAGGTATACAACACTCGAAATGCATGAACACAAGATAACTAACGCAGGTGTGCATGCACTGGAAGAAAGTGTAACGGACATGTTTTCCAAGTCCAAAAGGCAGCTTGTAGCGAAAAGGTCTGCAACTTTTGCTTGCTTGCTTGCTCCCCCTCTCTCTCTCTCTCAACCATTCATTTTCTTTGTTCTCCATGCGTAAGAGTTTTGGTTTTCCTGAAAGACCATGAAATTCTCGCGTTCGGTCTTGCGACTCAAAGCAGCTCACAATGGCGGGGGAGGAGATAACTAGTGACTAGACGTGACTGAAGTGCTTTTTGCACTTTTTTTTGCAAAGTGCTTTAGTAGGATACTGGCGGGACCATATGGCAGCAAAAAGCAAAAAAAGCAAAGCAAAGTGTCTTGTTTTTGCCTTTGCAGGTGGTGGACTTCATTCGAACGCGTTTACCTGGGCGACCAGATGAGCGGGTGGGAGTATCAGATACGACCAGTGCCGACCGATTTTTAGCTGGAATGAACCACTGGCTCACTCAATGTCCATGCACAGAGCATTACTTATGTTCTCAGTCCCATCCCTCTTGTACCTTCATGAGTGGCTTCATATGTTGCCTTTGTCACTGGTTTCCTTTAGCAACCTGAGAAACCAGTTGCTACCAGCTTGTGCTGCTGAATGGAGCAGTGCAAACCTTTCGGTTCCTGAAATTCAATGTAACGTCACAGTCGTCGTGCCCGAGAAGCTAAGACTGCAACATTTCCAATTGACTTCTCAGGGGTGTTTCTTCACTTTGGGGAAAAACCTTTTAAGCACCTACCATTTTCCAGACAAAATCCCCTCAAAGCATGTCAAGGGAAAATGGCGGGAACTCATATGAACTTGATGGGAACACATTCGTGTTTGATGGGAAAATGCCACTTCTGATCAGCAGGTCCTAGGAAAAGAGCTAGGAAGAGAAAGAGGGTTCTTGGCAGGTCCTCTCTGGCAATGGGATAGGTACACCCCCAAAATTGGGAACAGTTCGGCTTTGGTGGGAGTTTGTTAGGATTTGCTGGGAGTGTGCTTGGTGGAACAGAACTGTGGAATACCAATTGCGCCAGGTTTTTCTGGTGGAATGACGCCCCAAAGTTCCAAAGTGATGAAAAGTACACTTGGGAACACAATAGGAAAAAGGTGGAGTGACAAAGGCTCATCATCGCTGACAGCTCACTCTGAGTGAAAAAACGTAGTTCATCTTTGCCTGACAGGGAACAACTTGATTTGACTGGGACATGTTAAGGTTTTGATTCTGATGTTCTCTTTGGAGTATGTTGGTTTCCTGAATCATTTTGTTTGTAATTTGTAAGTAAATTTTGTGAAGCGGTGCTCTATGAAGAGGGTGTGGTAGTGGCACTTTGATGACAGATGTCTGTCAACCCTGCCATGCTTTCCAGTGTCAAACGTGACAGATAGTTATTATACGCGACCACAATTGGAGGCCTTGGAGCGAGTCCTCGAAGATCTCCTTGATGCCTGCGCCATGCCTGCGAGACCTTGGATGATCGGACGTGTTCGTTGGCATTTCTCATCCTCGACATCTTTTGACGAATCAAATAGGGGCCCATAGTAGCATCCTTGCTCCTAGTAGTGCTGCCAGGAGCCCCTAGTAGCGTCCTTGCACCTAGTAGTACGCCAGGAGCCCCTAGTAGCGTCCTTGCTCCTAGTAGTACGGCCAGGAGCCCCTAGCAGCTCTTCATTGTCTTTTTGATGGGAGCTGCTCAGCAAACTCATAACCCGTTCAAAGTTTGAGACATGACATGACCTTTTGTTGTGCTTGGACACTCTCAGTATGTGTTGCCAGGTCTCTCCCGACCTTCGGATGACGAACGGCTTGGGTGGCGACAACATGACGGCCGTCTTGGTGGGGCCGTGCAGCCTTCGGAGATGGAAAGGGGTGATCACGAGGTGATGAGGGTTTTCTCGCATAATTAATGACGAGCAAGAGCAGAAGCTACTAGGGGCTCCTGGCATCGCTACTAGGAGCAAGGACGCTACTAGGGGCTCCTGGCCTTACTGCTAGGAGAAAGGACGCTACTAGTAGAGCAGGAGCCGGGGCTCAAGCCAATCCAACATCAGAGCACCTCTCGCCATCTTGGGAATTGTCAGGTACTTCCTGTTTGGTATTTGATTATTGATCATTGATTGCTCGGATATTCTGCGGAGTGCTGGTGAGGGTTGGGCAATGTTAGATTCGTTATAACAATGGGGGTACGTCTCCCTTTTTTTGAAGGTTTTTGGGTTAGCCGGGTAGCCGCAACAATAGTCACCTCTGGAGTTCATTACATTACATTTGCTTTCATTTGCTTTCATTTCGCTTTAATATTGCTTTCATTCTGCTTTCTTTTGCTTTCATCCTGCTTTCGTTTGCTTCCATTCTGCTTTCATTTGCTTTTATTTTGCTTTCATTTACAAGAGACTGTCTATTATAGAAGTGTGCAGGAAAACATTCCAAAGCAAGCCAGGAGCCGCAATAGGGAGAGGGTCTATACTTGTAAGGGGTACCCTTTGCAAGACTGTTGAAGTGAAGCTTTTCATACGTTTTTTTAAATTGAATACCTATGGTTTTCGAAGTTGAACAATTCTGGATTTTCATTCATTCTGCTTTCATTGTGCATTATGACCTTATTGTCTTCTGCAATATTGTTTTTTCTTTTTTCAGCTGACTTTTGTGAATATAGTTGCTGACTCTTATGATGCCTCCAAAACCCTCGTTGTGGGGTGCAATCAATGGATGACTGGATTCCAAGTGTGCGTTCTGGGTGCTATGGCACTGGGCCCCGTCCCCTTTTCCCGGTGAACCGACCTGTAGCGAGAGTGAAAGGAGTGGGGTGTTTGTGCACTTGACAAACTGCAGGTGTTGCTCAGAAGCATGGAGGCCTTACGGTGTGAGCAGAGCTGGCAGATTGCATCTCTCTCTCCCTCTCTCTCGCCACAAGAGTGATATGTAGTGTAGGCTGTGGGTCAAAACCTACAACTAGAACTCCCAAAACCCTGATGCGTATTCAGTCTCACTGAATGCTGAAGAAGCCGTTGCCTTTTGGGACATACCAGTAGTCTGGAATTCCTTCAACATGAAAGGAAACTGAAAGCCATGCGGTTCCATCATTATTCAACGAGCCTGCAGCTAGGGAATACGACGGGGCCATTGTCACGGCTTGCGTGACGTCGACGGGGGGTGCCATGCCTTGGGCGATCGATCAAGCCATTCATCATCCGTGATGATACGTACGATCCCGATATTCTCCTCTCAGCTGACCTTCACGTACGGCAGCGCAACCTCATATGCTGGCTTTGTTTTGCAAAGCACTTGCAGAGAAGAGTGAACTCTACGAAGCCGTCCTGTAAGAGTTCAAAGCGATGAAGCCAATATGCAAAGCAACGTCCCTGAGATCTCAAACCATTGCAAGCTCGCACCCCGCCTTTTTCCCTGGCGCTTGAGCCAAAATGTTTACATGTCCAATCGTCGAACGCTGACTCGAACGATGCTTCACCTGAAAATCAATCACTTGAAGCCAAACAGCGGTTCCACTGTACGCATTACAAAGAAGCAGCTGCAAAACGTCTCAGGCACGTCGAGACCAAAAGCGGCCCGAAAGTCCGCCTCAAAAAGAGATTAGGCTTGTCAACCTCGCCCTGGGGTTTTTGGGAGCGTGTCCGATGCCATGCAACTCCTTGTTGCTTGAAGCAGAATCAGTTTGATCAAAAACAAATGCCTACCGTTTGCAACCAAGGCACTCGCACAGTGTGGGATGAAAGGAGACACGCGTCGTGCACGCACTTCACTCCTTCTGCTGGTCAGGCCACGAACGCACTGTCTGATCAGCACACTTTCAAGAGCAAGGATGGCGTCCCACCGGCTGGTTGCTCATCTCTGGAGCTTCGATTGATGTCGGTAGAGCATTACACTTGATGTCAGGAAGGTTGCAAGCATGAACAGCGAAGGCGTTCGCACCAGAGATGGTTGAACTCAGCTTGCACAAACCAAGACATCTGGGGTACTTGCGCGACCATCCGAATGCAAAAGTGCGAACGGTTCCATGCAAATGTGGGCTGGAGCTGCACTCAGATCTCTGAATCATATCCTGTTGGCACCGGGCATCAGCCTTCCAAGTGTCAAAATTCATCTTCCGATTCTTGGCAGACCGGGCATCAGCTCCAAGCTTGTTGTTGGGATAAGCCAGGGTGGGCGTGTTGAAACTAAACTGAAACTAAGCTGCAGCTCTGGGTTTCTGGCATTTTGTTATCCAGCGCTCGTGTAAAACATGGGAATTCAAAATGAAATGGCGTTCTGCTGTCTGGTACTTTTCAAGTCTTGGAGACATGGTCGAGAACTATGGTTCGATCCAAAAGTCAACTGCTGTGGTTTGATGGGTTTTGGAAGTTCAGTGTTTTTTCTCCCCTTTCTCAAGTTCATTCCAGTCTTATCAGCCAGGGTCCCCCCTTTGACCTACAGCCATTGTACAGTTTCAGGCATATATATATATATAAATACACCTTTCTCTATCATTTTTATGTGCATATGCTTGTAGTCACGTTCTAGAGCTGTGTTCGTGACATTGCTTCAATATCCCATGCATTGGGCAGCCGACTTGTGTAGTTCACCAGTGATGCGCGCGGCAGTGAACACGTGTGCAGGAACCAGACGAAGCAGGTGAACTTGACCGAAGGAGTTTCGCTGTGTGCACACCTTGACGTGGATAGGCAGATTGAAGAATTGGATTTGCAGATTCAAAATCGACTGCGTGAGGACTTCCCTGACAAAAGCCAGGAACCTAGTGCAAACGTGGATGCATGTGTGGACTTAGCGCTTTAGCCCACTTAGGTTCAACTACTTGCAGAAAGATCAGGACAACGCCGGGTGGTCGCAAAGGCAAGACTGCATAGATATATAACAGGTCAGGAGGGTGTTCTATTTTTTAGCGTGGTTGATCTCAGACACACTGTCGAAGGCGATGGAAGACACCAAAGGTTGGCTGCAGGCCAACAAGATGACTGACCAACATCGCGCTTCAAAACAGATTCGAAAGGACCTACTTCAAGGTTTTTAAACATTTTAAAACGTTGAAGCACCATTTTTTAGTCTGAAATCGATTTGCTTGGCATATGTTGCAACCACTTCAAAGTATGGATTTCAGCTCGACATGTATTTGACATGTTTTTGGAGTTGAAATGACTTGCTTATATTGCTTTGATGTTGTGTGCGGATGTTTTGCAACTTGAGAGCTTGCAGCTGCAGTAGTCAGTTCTTTCCTGATGCGAAACTTAACTCAGGTGCATTTGCAAGTACCAGGCGGCATTTCGATGAGTGACCTCCACTTGTTCATCTCCGAGGAACCGACCTTTATGTGGAAAGGCTAGAGTCAAAGAACCTAGAAGATGATTTTTGCAGGAGCAAGCCCAGCTGCAACTAGTGGTGCGTGAAGAAAGAGGTGAGAAGATTGGAAGCATTTGTCGATCTCACAAAGGTGGTGGAGTCAAACAAACTGGTAAGACACCAACGGATTCCTTTCAGAAGCAACTCACTCATTGCATTGCTCATGTACAAAAAACAAGATGAACTTGTCCGTTGCAATAGTGCATTCTCGACCCATTCTGATGCAAAGACGGTGCTGAGGGTGCTAGTGGTAACATTTACATTTTTTGTCATCACCGCAGACAAACACTTTGCCATATCACAGTCATGGTGGCGGTCTGATCTCGCCCATGCACCACACTTCGCAACATGTTGGTGTAGATCGCCACTCTCTAGAGTTTCTTGCCTTGCATGGGCACCAATTTCGCTTAAATGAGCCTGAGATCGAGATTGCATGTTGAAGAACCACTGTAGTCCAGGAAATTAAGTCAATTAAGTGCTTCCATGTCAGCAGCCCTGCAGTGTGCAGGGGATGATGTGAATTTTTTTGAGCTGAAGGAGCATTTGCCAGAGGCCGGCAATACCAAGGGTGGCCACAGTGGGCTCAGCGGGTATGTTCGGCTTGTTGGACTGAACGGTGAGAGCACGTCACAGTGCACCGGGCTGACCCATTTTGCACGTCACACACCGGGCAAACCGGGCAAGGCTGCAAGGCTGCAAAGCGCTGCGCCTGCACGCTTCGTGGCGAGTTCTGGCCATTTGAGGTTGGATTCACTAGATCCATCATGTTGTGGATTTTTGGATCTACAGTAAACAATTTTGGCGAAATGAAGCCTCAAGATCCTCAACACCTTGATAATCTTGGACTGTGCAGTCTCAGTAGCATGTGAATGTATGTGTATCAATCCACAGCAACTCCCACTTTCGCTTGGAGGTTGGAGCTTCCCTGGCAAAAGACCTGAAGGAGCGAACCTGCTCTTAAAGGCTCGAAAGCACGATGCCAGGTGTGGTTGGAACATCTTCCAGAGGAGAAACCGAGCTTTCTCCCCCTGTGAGCCGCTGAAAGCACAGTGGTGAAGGGGTCCAATCCACGGGTGGCTTCTGAATAATCTGACTTCCGTTCCAAGGTGATTGGTCTAAGAAGAAATCTAAATGGTCCTTTAAGGTAAGGCCTATTGGCCTAGTGGCCTAGCCTTCTATGAATTCAACCTGGTTCTGATTGGAGCGACAGGTGAAAGTTCAGAGACGCAATTGTCCTGTAGTTCCACTAGCTAGATGGGCTCAAGTGCCCGCCAGCCAGATGACACGAAATCCAACAGTTTTCTGAAGTTTCGATTAGACGTGGATGAAGCAGAGAGGTTTGTATCAGAACCAGGTCTCAGATTCTCGTCACTGCGTCGGCTGCGAAGCCCATGAGAAAGGATTGTCTCTCTGATGTGACTCTTTTTGCTTCTTACAGCAATGGCCTCCAACGTAGTAGCATCCTTGCTCCTAGTAGCGATGCCAGGAGCCCCTAGTAGCGTCCTTGCTCCTAGTAGTAAGGCCAGGAGTTTCTGTCCTGAAATGCTCAGCTCCATTCATGGAAATAGGAGCAAGAACGCTACTAGGGGCTGCTGGCCGTACTACTAGGAGCAAGAACGCTACTAGGGACTCCTGGCATCGCTGCTAGGAACAAGGGCATTACTAGTCGCATGGGAGCTTTGAAATGTAGCCAATTGAGCAGAGGTAGCAGCAATGGCCTCATGCAGTTCGTTCGAAGCGCTGGTGGCTGATAGCTGCGGTAGAGGCTTTCAGACAAAGAACATGCACAGGCATCAACCCCAAACCATGGGATCGGTTGACAAAGGTGTTGGTAGTACATCAATATAGCCAATTCTGGTCATTTTCTCAGAGATCCAACAACGCTGAGAAGCCATGGGTGTGGGCTGGGAGGAAGACAAGCGCTGTGTGACCTACGGTTTGGAGCCGTTTCTGGGCGAGGGTAGGTCCAACGCGGCGGAGGAACCATGTTGTTTTTTCATAATAAGAGTTTCACCAGAAGCATGGCATGATGCCCAGCAAACAAGAACTCCGATCTTTCAATTTAATTTGCAACATGCAGGTAATTGCAAGCTCTGACATTCCGTTGCTTCAGAACTTACAGTCAGTAGGCATATGAGGCAGCCCTTTGCCACTTTGGACAAAGAACTGCAGATGAGCTCTGGAATTCAGATCCTATTTTAATCCGAGGTTCGTTTTTGATCCTGGTCCTCAAACATCTCAGGAGCTGCGGTTGTTTTCGCGGTCGCGATCTTGTGCAACTCAGGGTCACTGCTTCTCGATTGCCACGTCACCATGTGTCATGCTATCGTGCCCGCTTTCGTTCTGTACTTGGTCTAGGGCTTTTTGAGAGCACACACGTGCAAGTAGTGTCCACGTGTAGCTGGTTGGTCACCAAGTTGGACACAGTATGGGGATGTATGGGGCCGGAAATGGAGTATTTGCCCCTAGGCGCACCGCCTTGCACAATGAGCATCCTGGGAGATTGAAGTCTGACACAAACATGAAGAGTAAACAATTTTTGGTGCACCATGCTACCATGCTTTTGCAACCGTGCTTTTGGTAGGAAGAGCTTGCACGCGATGCAGAGAAGCGCGTGCGGTCCGACAAGCGCTTCCGTGAGGTGTGGTGCTTGGGTGGTGTGGTGCGACGTGCGACGCGCGGCAGGGACTGGTATGTGCTGGGCAGCTCCATGCAGTGGAGGGGTCCAGTGACTGATTTGGCAATCTCATTCACCTGAAAAAGACGAAAACAGTGTGGGTTTGCAAGACACGTGTGCTAGGGTGTGTTTAGTTTAGACACGATACTCCTAGATTCTGGAAGAGCCAAAGCTTTTCCAAACTTCAACGAACGAGTGTGAGGTCCTCAGCAAAGAGAAGGCTGCAATCACCGCAGTCCTCCAAGGGTGCTTGGAGAAGGTGACTCGAATCGCGAGAAGATGATAAAATGCGTAACAACATGTAACAACTGAGAGCTTCTGTGTGTTCGAGCTTTGACTCACGTGCGGCACTTTTGGACTGAACAACAGCGAACCGCACGCATTAGCAGCTGTAGCTGTGAGTCAAAGCATATGTATATACAAATAGGCTGTAGCTGTAATTCGACCTGCTGCCGAGTGCCATTCGAACGAAGCCGATTTGTTCAAATAACTAAGCCGAAGGTGAACGGCCAACTCGAAAGAGGCGAAGAAGTTTGTCAGAAGGCCACTTATCTGGAAGTTTTGCCCATCCTACAAATCATCAACGGACTTCGGATGATCTAATTATTGATATAAGAACTTTGCACAACAGTGCTTCCCTTCCTTGGAGTGTTGTATTCCAAGAAAAACTTTTTACTCCAACCCTCCTCCTTGCTTTGGAGAGGCCAGGGACTTCGCAGCTAGAAATGAATCCTATACTACATGTAGAATTGTTTTTTGACTTCCATTGGCTTCCGCACTGGACGAGATCTTTTTTGATGATCAACCGAGTGCACATTTGTAGCTTCGAACCAAAAGCTGCTGCCGTGTCTGGCAGCTGAGGCTCATTTTCCTTTGCTGAACCCTCGAGACTTTGAAGACATGGAATCCTTTGCTCGCCATGACCACTTCACCGTCGACTTGAGGATTGACAAGGCCATATCGATACCAGTTTAGCTAAACGCTGTCGCTTCCGATTCCTTGCTTACTTCCCATTGAAAGTCTCATATATTATCCACTTTTGTCCTCACCATTTTGTGTTTTCTTGGTTGATTGGTCATTAGCCAAAGTTTGTCAATGTCAGGTCGATGAATCTTTGCAGAAGCTTGTAAGCAGTCTGCTTGGAATTGCCGAGACCTAAGTCTTGCACGTCTGCTTTGGAGAAAGCCATCAATCAGCAAGACACTGCTTTTGACCTGAACATCCTTGAAACAGGTTGTTTCTTTATACTTCGGTTGGATCTGGCGCCCGAACAAACTGATTGGAGCTTTGTGTCACTGAGGTCTGGACCAACATTCAGGTTGAAGCTTGGTGAGTGTGGTGCATTTGTAAAGGCCCCAATCGGACACATGGGTGCCACATCGTCCCTGACAGCTCAGGAAAATGAGACGAAGGCCAAGTCCCTCGAACGCTTCAGCCAGGTGCGATGGGAAGGGGAAAGGGTGAAGAGAGGCCGCAAGAAGGTGAGCTTTGCGCACTGGGGGATTCGATTGAGGTTGTTCTTGTTCTCTTCATGTTTTGATATTACTGGAGCTTTGCTTGCCAACAGACATGATTTGAGCTATATTCTTGGGAAAAGTGTGGAAGTTTGCAACTGAGGACAAGATCATGTTACTGCCAGGCCCTTCAAGAGCGCATGGAGACATTGGAGTACCACTTGAACGACCGTTCCAGGCAGTTGTCCAACTGCAGGCGCATCAAACATTGGGTTTCTTGATGTTTTTTTTTTTTTTTTTTCCCCTGTAGTGCCTGCCAGCTTGGATGCCCGGGCATTGTTTTGACAGCAATACCCTTGAGGTATGCATACTTCCTGGAGATCACACACTTACGTAACCTGGCAATTTCAGAAATAGAAGTGATGCTGAATGGATGGTCACTCTAATAAGACCGTGGCACCTCCATTTGATAATATGACTCAAGCCAGGTCAGTTGCTGGAACAACTGCCTTCCAAGGCAACTCCTTCCGTCGCCCCCAATCCATGATGTTCGTTGCCCACACGCTCGGTACTAGGTTTCGCCCTCAAAAATGCAAGCCCTTGTTACTAGTAGTGCCAGGAGCTAGTAGTAGCGTCCTTGCTCCTAGTCTGTTTCTAGTAGCTCTTGCTACTAGCCTCCAAAGCTCCAAATTTTCAAACATCGGTGCCATGCAGATTTGCCACCAAAGTCCAAACATGTCCAGTCCAAAAGCCAACCTTCCAAGTAGAATTCTTTTTATCTCCAAATTGGTGCGATCACATCACATCCCACATTACATCGAGTTGCAAACTTATATGTTCACATTGTTTTATGCCTCAGTTTTTACGCAGAGAGAAGGTTTTGAACGGTAGAACTCAGGGTGACTTGCCGCAGATGAGGCAACCAGCTCTACATCAAGAACCAGTCCGATGATGAGAACTTTGAGCCTGTGGAGGCTTACTTTTTCGATCCCACGGAGTACTTAGAGGAGGACACTAAGTGCCAAGTCAATGGTCAGTCAAAATGATGAATAGGTTCCTGTTCTTACTGTCTTTCATGCTACGAGTGAGATGAGTATTGAAAGCCTTGAACTGCAACTTCATTGAGTTTTGGAGGAGTTGCGCCAACAGCTGAACGATAAGATCACTTTGAGCGTGCCTTGGCTATTGACCCGTCCAACTTCTCGACTACGAAGTGTGCCGGCATGCTGAACCTTTTCTTCTGTTCCATTTTTGCAAAGGTGAAGGTTTACAAGGAGAAGCTGAATGCCAAATGTCGAGAAGTTGCTGATTTGGAGCTGCAGTTGGAAACTCTTCAGGTGCGCAGCATTTTCCAATTTGGCAAGAGACGGGGGACCAACTTCTATATTCTTATCATCTTCTAGTCATAACTCATAACAACATTATAGTGGTATTTTAGTTGCTGGGACTACTAACAAACTACTTGTCGGGCAACCGTCAACTGTCTGCTTTGCAGGATTCAGTAGAATGCCCAACTGCAGCTTGTGTGCTGGTGTTTCTGTTTGGGTTGGGATGTGAGCACGGGTGGACTTGAGCACCGGCGCTTCACAGGCTTTGAACGCTCAGCGGAACGATGATAACCTGTGCCTCATTTCACATATATATGTCTTTTTAGTTGCAAATCTTTCGCCTGCCCCGAAGGAATGAGAAGCAGACTGCAGATCCTGCCAGTCTTTGAAAGTCTTCACTTGGTCAATCTAGCCATGCTAGACCAAAAATCCTTGAACTCAGGAAAGAAGAAAAGCCTATACAATTGACTTACATTTCTGAAATCTAAAGTTGGTCCTTTCGAAATTAGCGTTTTTGTTGCGTCCTTGAAAGTTGGACCTTTTCACGCAGTGTGGATAAACCGAGGGAGAATTACTTGCAGATTGCCTGCAATAAACATGGCGCGAAGAACGTCGTAGAGACTCTGGCACAATTGGCCGAAAAGGCTGGGCATCCAGTAGCCATGTGTCAAAAGTTCTCAAGGTCTAGACAGAAAAGATCCAAGTGCGAGAAGGTGTGCTAGAGTTTGGTGGAGATGAAAAGGCGATTCACTTGGCAAGTAAAGTCAATGAAACCCTTGGTGATCCACGTGCTGGTAGTTGGTGACTCAACCCTCCGCTTTGCAGGAAATGCACCAATGGGCACAGAATGTTCGAGGTGGTAAAACGCCGCAAGCCAACGTGCCCTGGTGTGTGCATTATGCATCATCATGCTGCATTACACCATGACGCCGACCCACGGAATGGACTGTGGGTCCAAACCACCCCTATTCCTTATAACTTAACTGCCTTTCATCTATTGCTATTGGGTTGCGAGAGCTTGAAACACTGTATGCACTGTATAGATGAAACATGCAGTGCAGACTTGCAATTTAAGAAGTATGTTTCCACAACATTTGGAGACTTACCCAGTTGTACATTCTACGGTGTAAGAAACTGAGACTTGGCCGGAATACACAGGCTGCGGGATCCAAGATGACATATGCACGCATGAAGACTGGTCGAACGCGAAGCCAACCAGACGTTATTCAAGATGGACTGGCGCTTTTGGTATCCTTGAGTCAAAGCAAATCTTGAGATCAAAGGTTTTTTGCATGGGGCTCCACTTCTGAAGAAAGAGCTAGGCAAGAGACTTCCAAATCAAATCAGTTTTTATTCGCACAGTGACCGGCAGACATATTTCCGGAAATTACAAATTGCGTCATCGTTGATTTTAACTTGGTCTCCTTTGCGCTTTGCCGCGGCTGTCTTGTAAGTATATTGTATGGCACGGGAGAAGCGGGCTAAGAAGAGGCGTCAGGTAGCGGCAAGTGGCCCATCAGTTCGCTTGGTCGGCCGACCTCTGGTACACTTAGATACCCCCTTACTCACATCATGCTTCGGCCAATGTCCATAGTGTGAATTCACGCTTGCATGACCATACCTTTTGAGCCCACCTGATCGAGTGGGCTGAGGAAAACACTGCTCATTTGTCCACCCCTCGCGGCTTTGATATTGAGCAAGTTACCCTAATCACCTCAAGCAGTGAATCTGGTTATGGATGACAATAGGGATAATGATAATACGACTAACTCAGGGTTCAGAGATTGACCTTCAAAGCAGACGTATTCCATTGTATTGTGTTTCGCAAGAAGCCACTTCAAAACCTTGAAGTTCCTCGCACGTCAACCAATTGCTTTGTGTGATTTTTGGTCAGAAGCTTGCGTAGTCATACTTTTTGCCGAAGAGTCGCCGTCGTGAGTGAACTGAGACTGAGGCCGAAGGCTTGGAAGGTTCCTTCTCCCCAGCGCGACTGGAGCAGATGAGGCAGGCCATGATGCAGGCAGCACAGGAGGCAGAAGAAGAACGTGCCTTGAGGCAGGGACGAGAAGACGATGGTGATCATCGGGTCAGGTGATTCAATCCACGCCCTGCCCTTTAAGAGTCAATTGCTGGGACATTATACCCAGACTTTGTAAAGCAATCCCGTCGTATTTTTTCGAGGCGACAGGCAGAGGAAGCCTTGAGAGAAGCACAAAAGGAGTTGGAAGAACTCACGAGAGCGCTGGAAGAACAGAAGCTCAACGATGCAGGTGCTGCGCGTTGCCTCACAAAAACAGCACAATGCGCAGCTTCGTGTGTGCCGTTTGCGTTGCTTGCCAGGGCAAGCCGTGCCAAAAGCAGCGGCTCCACTGGTGCAGGCACTGCAATCTAGCAGGATGGTTGAATATTGTGAAAACATGAATACGGAACAGTTGAGTTAAACACTCTTGCGAGACTTTTGATGAACACAAACCAGATAAGAACTAAGAACCGAGAGTTTGTAGGAAAGAGTTGAGCCTACAGGCGCGAAGCCTCGTTGATCCCAGTGAAATGGACGAGCTTCGGAAGGAGTTAGCCAGGACTGGTGGAACGTTTCCAAGGATTCCAAGCGCACCAAGCGGGGGGTCTTTCAAGTTTTTGCCTTGCAACACTATGAACCTGCCTGGTGGATGGGAACATACTTTTGTCAGTTCTTTCTTGGCTGCAGGATCAAACTGCAGCTTGAGAAGGAGTGCCTTGGGCCTTGGCATGTGCCTGAAAAAGCATCTCTTGGGCATGTATTGTACGTAGATGTCACAGTGTTGCCATCTCTCACCGTTTCCAAGAGTCACCGATTCTGTTTGGGCAGAGAAATCTTTGTCTTGTCCAATATGACCCAAAACAAGCAAGCAGTCATATTTGTGGTCGCTACTAGGGGCTCCTGGCATGGCTACTAGGAGCAAGGACGCTACTGGGAAAACTGGTCCCACTTGTTGAAAGGCAAAGTATTTCACCACAAACACTCGTTCCAAGGCGCAGCAAAAGTGCAGAGCTACAACTGCTGCAGGCGCGCAGTGACTGCAGATTGGATACTGTCTGGATTGATGATGCACTTCACTTATGAGTTTTAAACACTCCACTGAAATCAGAACCGCTTGAACTTATATATGTTGCTGTGCCTCTTCCGGTGTTCAGTCACAACGTCTTTGCCCGATTCCCTTCCTGAGGCTTGCTCTTCAGACTTGTCGATTGCAGTTCATTTTTGAAAGACATGGCTTCAGTCTCCTGGTTTGATGTTTGGCTATTTGCAGGAGACCAAGGCTTCAGAAACGAGGGCAAAGTTGGAGGACTATGATCCTTGGACGGTTGAATCTTGAAGAGGTACTGATTAGCTTTCAGATCTGACAGAGGGCATCTTCAAGGATTTGCATCAGCTTGTGAGGACGTGGCAAAGTAAACATGGACTTGAGATTACTTGAGAGTATTGGCGCTCCATTCCACCATGCAGATCCATGCAGAGTGTTTTCCCGTTTTTAAAACCCCAAACTTCTTCAGAGTGTCGCACATGAGGCCCACTGTTTGTCAAGCAAGATCTATGCATTGACATGATTCCATTATTCAATTCCACACTTGGTAATGAAAGTGATCCAGCCAACGAACCCGTCCGCGACCACGAGAGCCCAAAGGCAGCGCTTTTGTGCCTTTTCACTACGATGTTAAGGATGACACCCATGCGGTGCTGAAGGAAGCTCAAGAAGTCCACAAAACCGCAGAGTCAGCAGGCTCCGACGTGTCGGAGTTGAATTTTGTGTATCTTCAATAGTGCATCTCGTCTACATCAACCTTTTGAGCAACTTTCCATGCCAACTCCCATCCATTGAGTTAAGTTTCCGTAAACATCTAGGAACCAAATTGCTTCTAGGTTGGAGGCCATTGCTATTAGGTTGGAGGCCATCGCTCTTAGGTTGGAGGCCATTGCTATTAGGTTGGAGGCCATCGCTCTTAGGTTGGAGGCCATTGCTACTAGTTTCCCTAAAAATCTAGGCATAGGTATCAAAAAAAAAATAAAAAGAGCATCAAAAAAAAATAAAAACAGGATCAAAAAAAAATAAAAACAGGATCAAACAATAAATATTCCTTGATAGGCCTCTTCTGCTGCTCTCCTGGCCTTGAGGTCTGCGGGTCCTCTGGTAATGTGGTCCCTTGGTCCATTGGTCCTCTGGTCCACTGGTCCTTTGGTCCCCTGGTCCCTTGGTCCTTCAGTCCACTGGTCCCCTAGTCCTCCGGTCTCCTGGTCCTCTGGTCCTGTGCTGCTGCTGTTACTGCTACTGCTACGCTGGTGCTGGTGCTGCTGCTGCTGCTGCTACTGCTGCTACTACTACTACTACCCCAACCATCCTCAGTGGGCTAGAATATTTTTTTTGATTCCCTTTTTATTTTTTTATTGATCCCCGTTGAATATTTGTTTTTTGATTCCCCCTTTTTCCCGAATGCGTAGCGAAGGGTTCTCGTTTAACTCTGGGGGTCTGGGGGTAGAGTCTTGTTCGCGATCCGTTGTTTCTATGTTCGCAACCGTCCGCAACCGTTCGCAACCGTCCGCAACCGTTCGCAACCGTTCGCAACCGTTCGCAGTAGGACGCTAAGGCGCTGCCATTGGGGGAAGCTTTTGCAAGTGACTTTTCATGGATGTGTCACGTGTCAGTTTGCGACGCTATTCCATTGTGATTTGCATGAAAATGACATGTCGCGCAAGAAGCGTGATGGATTTCGCTGCACAGGCGCAGTGGTTTGAGAGATCCGCAGTTTACTGCGCAGTTCCATTGGGATTAGCGTTTAGAGAGTCGTGTTTTTGGGGTGTTGGATGTGGCCTTGCCATTGGGATTTGCATTTCAGGGTGTGGCATCGAAGCTCTGTTTTCGCGACAAGTCTCAGCTGAAATGGCGATTTTGGTGGATGGGAGTGTGCTCAGAACGGGTCGAAATCATTCTAAACGTGTGGTGTGGTGCAAATTTTGTTGAAGCTCATGTGAGATGATATTCTCACTTTTCGTGGCAGGCATAGTACTTTGTGCTGATTTTGAGGTGTGGAAGTGCGATTTTCGTGGCAGGCGCAGGAAATCGTGAGAATGCGAGGTGTGACGGAGTTGACATTCGTGGCAGGCGCAGTACTTTGTGCGCGTTAGACGTGTGGATGCGGAAAGATTCGTGGCAGGCGCAGGGAATCGCGAGGTCGTGCGTTATGGTAGAGGTGAATGTCGCTGTCACATTGGGATTGGCGTGTGAGCGGGTGTCGTTTGGAGGGGCTGGAATCGCGAAATTGCTAGGCAGGGCTGCGTGATGTATGCGCTCCGATGGGTGTTTCCGCTGGACTTTTGGAGGAAGTCTCGTACGAAACGCTCGTTTTGGAGACTTGACGTGTGACTTTTGGAGGAAGTCTCGTGCGAAACGCTCGTTTTTGAGACTCGACGCGCGACTTTTGGAGGAAGTCTCGTACGAAACGCTCGTCTTCAGCCTCGCAGCGTGACTTTTGGAGGAAGTCTCGTACGAAACGCTCG